CAGTGACTCTGGGCGGTTAAAAAGCTTCTGCAGTTTCTCACAATAAAACGATACGCCCGCGAAGCTTCACTCACCTTTTGAGCTATGTGGAGTGAAAAATTAAGTTTATGGTCAAAAACTACACCCAAATTCCTAATTAAGTTATAACTATTTATGTAAACATCCCCTACTTTATAATTAAATTTAGAACCAGAAGTTTTCCTGGAAAAGCTAACTACACTACACTTAGACGGATCAAGAAATACGTAACACCAAGTCACTAAAGAATCAATATCCCGCTGAAGTGCAATACAATCATCGTCAGACTCAATAATCCAGAATAATTTTAAATCATCTGCAAAGAGGAGTTTATTACAACTTAAATAATGTACAACATCATCAATAAATAAGGTAAACAAGTGTAATGTTTCCAAACTAACGTAGACAGCTCCACTTCACGTTATCAACAGTTCAGACATACTGTTTAACCGAAGGGGAACCTAACACATCGGGTTCCCCAGGTGGTATATGAAGGATGAGATTAATTAAACAAATCAATGTGATTAAAAAAATTAACTATGTCACAGCTAAGAAGTTTAATTAGCATAGATAAACTCCGATTTCTAAAACAGTTTACTTGAATCTATGAAACTAGTTTAATTAAACCAAAATGCAATGATCTAGTTATTACTTATTAAACCGTGATTTCATCATGCTTGCTCATCCTGTAATTCGCCAACCGCTAATTCATAAGTGTATAAGAATACAGGATATACAACAAATTGGATCATTTGACAGCGAATGAAAGAACATCTAAAATTGCAGCTAAACACCGGCCATTATCCTGTAGATGGCTCAAAAGTATAGCTGTTCTAATCAACGTTCAAAAAGATCATAGGATCACTCTGGCTTTCTTAGCTAAATAATTTCTTTAAATTTGCTCTACTGATGGCGTACTTGTAACTCGGAAACTAGTCGTATCAGAGCCTTATGCTCATGAAGCCTTTTGATCAAAAAGATATGAAGGATAACATATTTAAATTCCAGCCAGTTTAAGCGGGAACTATTTTTGATCAACATTTCGATGACTTGCGTACCTGGTAACTTGAAAATCATTGATACTTGAACCTTTTGTTCAAAATAGTATAGACGATATGTATCAGCATCAGCCAATTTGACCAGAACTTTATTTCCATGAGAATTGTAATGATTTCATACTCTCAAAAAATGCCTAAGGGATGTTTCTGAAAATCAGTAGATGGATAAAAACGTATTTATACAGGGTGTATGGTTAGTAGTGGATCAACGGACGTCAGGTGATAGAGGGCCTCAATACCTATCGAATGAACCCTTGTATGTGTCCGAAATTTTATAGCTCAGGAGATATTTGCAATTTTGTGAAATTTCGAAAAAAACGTAATAATGAACTTTCAACCGCAATTACAAACCATAAGGTTTAGCGATGTGATTTTTTTCTGAGATGAGCTAAATGGTTAGTTTTAGCAATTGTTATGTCACTTTTTAAGAGAGCTTATAAGACATCAACGCAAAAAATTTTAAATTAATTTTTTTTTGAAAAATCTCTTCCATCCCGCAACTGTGGAGAGCGGTAAAGAAATTAGGTTGTATTTCATTATTCATTTTATTGTAAAGACTATTTCAATCCATGTAGAATAAACCCTGAAAATTTCGGCTTGCTACGATGAGTGTATCATCTCACATTCGTTGTTGTGATGCCATAAACGTAAGAAATGCATAGAGTCCTTACCACATACAAGTACAGAACCTATTGAACCTATTTATGGCGATTTACCGACAAATGTGGAAGATAATTTAATTTAACTTCCTTTTAAAGAACATGTTCGAAATGGCCTCTATTATTTTCTTTACACAAGCGACGTGTTCTAATAAAATTGCCCTTAAGTGTTTGAAATGAATTTGCGTTTTCCATAATTTTTATTTTAGCTTCATCAATAAATTTTCTGGCGCAGTTGGAACTACAGCTAAATAAAGTAATAATAGTGCACTTTTGAATTAATTATGGTAAATCATGTCCTCAAGTGTCGCCCTTCTTCGCGCTTGCACATCTCCACCGCTCTTGAAATTTGTGCATTACACGTAGGATCATTTCTTGCGGTATTCTTGCGAGTTCTTGACGAATAACAATTTTTAGTTCCTCTGTAACGTACGGGGTTTGTGAGGGTACACTTTAGCCTTAGGGTAACTCCACAAAAAGAAGTCACATGCAGACAAGTCTGGGGAGCGTGGAGGCCAAAGAACATCGCCGAAACGGGAAATCACATGTTCAGGAAACATTTGTCGAACACATTCCATTGATGCTCTCGCTGTGTGAGCTGTGGCACCGTCTTCTTGGAAGTACAGTTCTCCCATGTTTACTTGTTGCCGTTGAAGTTCGGGTAACAGAAAATTTTGCAACACTTGAACATAACGTGCTGAAGTAACTGTTACTGCTCTTTCTTTCTCCTCAAAAAGTAAGGACCAATGATACCTAATCTACTAATTCCGCACCAAACAGTCAATTGTTCACTATGCAAGGGTCGTTGGTGTAGCTCTCGTGGATTTTTGGCCGCCCAATACCTGCTCGTTTACATATCCCGTTAAATGTCTACGCTGTTCAAAATCACTTTCTGTTACTCTTCCACATCATTAACTTATAGGGATGAAGTTGTAAATCGTGCAGAATGCTTTGTAACTATAGACGGGATATACGCAGAGCTGGAGCTTATTGCCTAGTAGACCGTTGTGGACTATCAAGGACCGCTCTTCTCACTATTTCGATATTGCCTGGTGTTCGAATGGTACGGGGAAGGGCAGGTCGCTTCCTCTTCATTACAGATCCAGTAGTTCGAAATGCCTCAATCCATTTTAGTATCGTATTTCGATCTGCAATTGACCCTTGGCGTTCAACATTGAACTCTCCACGGAATAAACGTTGCACGCTAACTACAGAATCATTGTTTCGGAAAAATTGCTCGACAGCAAACACACGATGCTCAGTTGTCCACGGTGACATGGCTAAAACTGCATTGCCTGTGTTCTTTGCTGGCTGTGAGGCAAGGTCAACCCACTTCTCTTTACGAAATACTGTTCACTCAGAAAACGTGCGTTTCCTCTGCGCCACCCTGTATAAAATCTAGAGGATTTAAATCGGGTAACCCTGGAGGCCATCGTATGTGTACACCTCTACCTATCCAACGCCCAGGAAAGGCACTGTCTAAGTAATGCCGTACATCCCGTGCAAAGTGGCATGGGGCACCATCGCATTGAAAACACATGAGGCTTTGCACGTCCAAAGGTACATCCTCTAGCAGCTCATGCAAACTGCTTTGTAGAAAAGCAAGATATGACTGACCATTCAACCGGGCGGGCAATTCATATATGGTCCAATTATTTTTTTGTTGAGTACTCCAGCCCATAAATTAACGCCGAACTGACGTTGAAAGCTGTGTCGACGAATAGCGTGTGGATTTTCAACGCTCCATGAATGGAAATTGTGCATGTTGAGTATTCCATTTCGGTTAGAACTGAACTCATCAGTCCATAAGATGCTGTCGAAAAAAGGTTCATCCTCTTCGCACCTTCTCAACATATTCTCACAAAATTGAACCCAAGTCTTGTACTTTTTGTACATGGTAATGATGCATGTTCTCCGAGCGTAGTATTGTGTGTACAGAAGTATGGGATATTTTTCTGCTTCGGGCAATGGCTCTGGTGCTTATAGAGGAATCTCTCTCGGCTGCTCCTATTATATCTTCTATTTCTTCTGGGTGTAACCTCGGCCCTCCTAGCTGACGATGAGTGTCTAGTATGCGGCCATCCATATACGCATTATAAACGCTTGGAAAAAACGCGGTAGTCGGGATATGCCGCCGGTTGTGGTCCAAACTCCTCTAACTCTAACCACATACTTCCGATACATGCGAGCCGCTGCTTGAGCATTTCCTAGGGCAGCACCATAATAGTAAAGCATTTCTGCATAATCTCGCGGAGAATATGAAATGATTCTACTCATATGCCAAAAGTTAGATACAAATTCCGCGCTGGACCATTGCCTGACTTAGTAATTTCGGTCGGACCGGAGATTGAACGCTTCCGCATTTGGAATGCCGAGTTGAATGCCCAATCTCATGAAGCTGATTCGGCTATTTGCGTAAAAAATGTGCCATTTTGATTTTATAAAATGTTAATGCACACAGTATCACTCGCTAGGACGAATCTAAGAGTACCTCGCATGTCAAAATCCATCAACTCGTTTGGACTGTAGCTCGTAAAATTGAATTTCTTGTTTACATGTATAGATACCCACCTGCGTCAAACACACAGATTTTTTAAGGTGGGACACTTATCGCAGCAAGCTGAAATTTTCAGGATTTATTCTACATGGATTGAAATAGTTTTTAAAATACCGCCTTCCAAAGTTGAGGGATGGAAGAGATTTTTCACAAAAAAATGAATTACAAGATTTTTTGCGTTGATTTCTAATTAGCTCTGTTGAAAAGTGACGTAACCATTGCTAAAACTATCCTTTTAGCTCATCTCAAAAAAATCACAGCCCTAAACCTAATGGTTTGGTTGTAATTGCGATTGAATATTCATGATCATGTTTTTTTAGAGATTTCACAAAATTGCAAATATCTCCTGAAAATAAAATTTCGGACCACACATATAGGGGTTGATTCAATAGATTTTGAGGCTCTCTGTCACCTGACTTCCGTTGACCCACTACTAACTTCACACCCTGTATATAGGAGCTAGTAATACAAAAAGTTTCTAATCAATGGCCATATAAATCATAAAATCAGATCGTCTGTTGTAAGTCTTTTTAGAATTTATCAGGTTTGAACACCCTTTAATCGGATCTTAGAGTCATAGTGCAATAGAGACTTTTGATCAGATTGGTATGGAGAAACGCCATACTAAAATTCCAGGCCATATGACCGGCAGCCATTTGTCATAAAAGGAATGTGCCATCTCCTATATGTTGCACATTTTTTACTTAGATTAGTGCACTGGCACTTAGAATGAATGAAAAAGTGGGCATCTTAAGTAACATCCGTGAGACAAGAAGCGACCATGGAGATTTGTCTACTTCATCATCTCCGGATATCAGACCGCTGGACCGCATCGTTAGCAGCTCAGCAGCTTTCCAAAATTTCCTTAGAAGTCTCCATAATGAAAATAGATCGAATTATACTGTAGTGTACGATACCTTTTAAAGATTGTTGTCGTGAGAATTTGTCAAATTGTATGCACTCAAAGCGAACAAGACATTATACAACTAAAAGTGTTTCCTTTAAGCTTTCCTGCCACCTTTGTGTAGAAACGGATATTACAGTCAAAATAAGAATTAGTTTTGTAGAAATTACCACATAGCTTAGAATTGTTACATACCTTATATACAACATTATGAATATTATATTAAAAGCTCCTATACATCCTTTTTGAATAAAAAAGAATGGACTAAATTTATGTACGAATAATAAACTGGTGGACAGTTGCTTTGTAAAATTTTACCCAAATTCATATCTCGATATTTTCGAAACAGAAGGAGATATCGAGTTGCGGTATTCTGGAGGCTTCTGACCAACTCTTTGAGAACACCTACAGGGTTCGATCGGCATATTTCTTTTATTTACTTACTGAGGGTGAGCAAAGGAAGTGCGTTTTTTTTTAGCAAAGTTAGGGGCTATGCCAAATTCTCAATTTTTGATGTTGGAAAAAATTTTTACATGCATTTTTTTGATCGTTGGACAATCCTGAAAGAAAGTAAATTCTCAAATTTTTCGAAAGTTGGCTGTAACTCAAATTACCGAATTTTAAGAAAGTGTTAAATTTATCCCTAAAAAAGGTGAATCCAGCGCGATGCAGCAGCGCAGTACTCGGGAACATATTCTTCGGAAGAAAAGGATCAAGTTTTGTAGCACATTGTTTAAATAAAGAAGTAAAGTGTGAAAGTGAAATGAAATATATATTTAGGTGAATGATCTTGACAATGACAATGACGTGAAATGCGTGTTTCTGGAAGAAGGCTCTTCAATAATGCAACTTAGGTGAGTAACTTTACATCTTTGATATCGCTACCATCATAATCGTATGAAAACTGTCTAGTCTAGATAATTAATCACAATAGCAAACAACGTTACTTCAACAACTTGATTCAGTTATCGGAATGTCCACGCGTTCACAGCTCCGTGCAGAGCCCTTTTCGATTAAGCTATTTTTTTAGTAGTGGTGTTCACTATAGTTTGTCTCTCTGTGGTGATTTGGTGTTTTAGTGTCGTAACGTGGGTTTCAGGTGAGCCTTGCATCCTCATCTACTTGTGCGTGTTAGGGTTGACATCCTATGTTTTTTATATAAATTGCGCACATTGCATACACTGAGAGATTAGTCATATACTAAGGTATTTGGGAAAAACTAAAATTTGGGTAATTGGTTTTTATTTTTGTCTGACTTTATCTTAACACGTTGACTGCGTTGCGAAAAAACGGCACTATTTTTTCAGTGCGATATAAGTCGCCAGGGACCGATAGTATGACATTATTCTGACACGGTATAGGTCTTCGGAGACCGATAGGCAAGCGTTTAACTAAAGCCCTCTAACATTTTATGTTCAAACCAGAATCGAAAAATAATTGCAGAAATCTGTAAATATATTCTAGGTGACGGTAAGTTTGGCTCCGTATAAGTCCCTGACGACTTATACCGCATCAATGGCTAGATGGATTTTAATCATACATATAACACTTATATTCATTTTATTTCAAATTTTGATATTTTACCAGTAAAACCAAACAATATATTTCAAGAATATAATATTTAAATCATAAATGTGCTGTTAGATGAATTTATTGCAACAAAGGTTATTATTATGTGTGTAATTTATTGAAGCAGGGAAGACACATGCCAGGTTTTCCGGGACAATCTTCACAAAAACTTGTTACTTTGGTGACTTTCTTATTTGCTTCACGGCTGGATACAGTTGTCCGAAGGTTTTGATAGCATCCTCTACAAATCTTCCTTTTTTTTCTTCCTGGGCCAGTTGGTTTTCTGAAAGTGTGAATCCTTTTACGTGTTGTTGGTTCGGAAACAACTGTAGGAGGATCTCTTAACTGTTCCGCTAAAGTTTTTCTAAATTCGGTTATTGACATTTTCTTCTTTGAAATCCGATTGAAAATGATCCAGGCATTTACGATACATGTTCCAAATAAAAATTCATTCATAACTTTTCTGTACCATTTTAGGCCTCGACGTAGAACCGAGTGATATGAAGACATCTGGTCACTATAATCAACTCCTTTTTTAGCTTTGTTATAATCTGTAACACACTTAGGCTTTACAATATCTTCACCCTTTCTTGATTTTTTTCCAGTTGCTTCAACAGTGCTAATATGATTAGGATTGGTAGTCAGCATTAAAACTGGTCTTTTATCAACCCATTTTATAATTTTAACGCACCCATTTTGTTGACTGTACGTCTCTCCTTTTTTTAACTTTTTTTGGAAAGATTTTGGGATTCCTTTCCTATTTGCACGTAGTGTTCCGCAGTAGACAATTTTTTCCTCATATAGTTTTTTTGCTAGAGGCAAGCTGCTATAAAAATTATCTGCAAAAAGATAATGCCCTTCTTTAGCTTCTACAGATTTTAGAAGTTCTAAAACCATCGTTTCTGAATGCTGTTGGCCTTCAACCTTTTCATTTTTTCCAGTATATATAATAACTTGGACTGTGTATCCATCAACAGCACACACAATTTATAAAGTTTGACACCATACTTGTGCGTTTTATTAGGAATATACTGGCGAAATTTTAATCGACCTCTGAAAGGAACCATAGACTCGTCGATAACCAGAATTCTCCCAGGAGTCAGAACATTTCGAAAATTCCTGTTAAGTACCTCCAATACGTTTTTGATTTTGTACAACCTGTCGTTAGTATCCAAAAATGGGTCTTCGTTGTTGCAAAAATGTAAACATCGAAGTAAAAGGAGAAATCTATCACGTGGCATTGTCTTTGCTATAAACTCATTTCTGAACATAGGATCTTTTAACCAGTAGAAATTAACTGACGGAAGTGAGTTAAAACCCATTACTAGGATAATTGAGAAAAAATGCATGACTTCGTTTTTATCTGTGTCCACCCAAACATTTAATCTGGATTTTGAATTTCTTCGTCCTGTTAAGCTTTGTTGGGCGTATCTATTTGTCTCTTCAACAATGATATGCCAAATGTCGTCAGTCACAAAAAGTTTATAAGCATCCAGTGGACTCAAAATCTGACTAACGTCAAAATTAAGTTCAGCTGACTCATTACAGACGTTAAAAGGTACCTGTCCTTCAACAATGTCTTGCCAATTATTAGTATCTAGCCCAACATGCGGCATATTTCCATTTTCATCATCTGTGGTGTCATTAGCTTCATTTTCATCAGCTGTATTTGAATCGAAATCATCGGCCTCGGCGGCACTGCCTGGATGGAAAATAAAAAAAATAAAACTGAAACAACAGAAACAGACATTGTGTTGGAAATATCTATTACCTTCGATTGTATCATCAAACAGATTATGTGGATTTTCATCAGAATCCGACGAAGATGGGTAATAGTCTTTATCTATGATAGAATCATCACTCCCAAAGTCGGAAAATTCATCTCCACTTGTAAGATAATTTCTTCCAGGACTATTTATTTGATTTTCATCGTCCGATGACTCTGCTTCAATGATTTCAATTTCATTTTCAGGTGTATTTGTTTGTGTGTCGACATCTGTGGGCAATGCTCCAGTATTTTGTAGATTTTTTGTTATTTCCATAATTTTTTTAACGCGGGAAGAAAACATTTTCGGAGAGTAAATCTAAAACACAACTTCATCCACTCGAATTCGGTACACAAATGACGGCGAAACAGGATCGAACGCGTTTGTCCGTAAGATTATGTATGTCTCTGGAGACCTATACCGACGTCTACTAATTATTTGAATCTGTCTGTGCGGTGTAGGTCTCCGGAGACCGATATCGTCATTATTTAATTTTTGATTCTATAAGTTGTGATGATCTTATAGCTACATGTCTCGCTTTTATAACTTGTATACTAACGAAAATATGCATTCCGCACCAAAACGAATATTTGAAAAAATGAGCTCCGCATTACAATGAAGCTTGATATCGGTCTCCGGAGACCGATATCGCAGTCAACGTGTCAAAAAACTAATGGCACTACATGATTGTGTTTTTAAATGTGCCCGAAGTGCACAACAGGTACAAAAGTACGACCCTGAATATAATAGCATCTCTTTCTACGACTTCCACGATGTATCACGTTACATTTGTTTTTTTTTAAGTTATAATCAAACGTGTTTTTCCTATTTTTCCATTTTATTTAAGTAGGCGTTGCAAACAAATTTAATGCCTGATGTAAGATTGTGTGATTACTGAATTTAACCTAGTCTGATCCTTGCCTTGGCCACCCTCTAATACATTATTATAAAAAGAAATTCACAGAAACGTGTACTAATCTAACGTTCTTGTAAGTATCTTTATGTACTTACATTCATTTCTGAAAAATCTCAAACCTATTAGCAAAGCCTAGAACAAAATACTATTTAGTCCAAGGAATTGGTGATAGTCTATAATTTACAGTATCGTGCTTTGACACTAAGCCATTTTGGCACTCTGGTGTTTTCAAACCTGGAATCTCAGCCCCGTATTTAGGAAACTACAATGTCTTACCTTGGTTGTTGGAGGATACGTGGGCACCAAATGTCCAAGAGTAGGGATGTGATGCGTCCAAAATGAGTCTGGCTTTAATTCCACATGATCGACGAGTTATAAGATGGATAAGTTATCAAGCTGTCCATTTTCAGCTTCCTCAAAATGAATGCCTAATATCTCTGCGTATAAGACGGATACTAATAAATAGTAGAGTAAAATGAAAATTCAACTTCTCCTATAATTTATAGATGAAATAGTTAATAAATACATTTATATGATAAAACATTGTTTTTTTCCTATTGTTGGAAGAAGTCCCGCATTCAAAAAGTATTTTATCCTAATAAAACTGGGCATTTAAAAAATCTTCAGAGATATTAACTTTGCTACGCCTCAGATCTTATATAGGTATCTCCATTGGTATTCCTCAATATTTTATTCAAAACTTCTCTTTTTTATAACATTCATCAAAATGGCAGAGGTAGCAAAATCGTCCGATGAGCAGGTGGCAAGAATGACAAGATTATCTGTCAAGTCAAGACGGATGTCTATCCCGGGGTACCGATGGATATATTTAGAACGTCAAAGCCGCAATTTTTCATCGTCATTCAGTTCCGAGCTAGCAGCCGTTGC